TTCTTCCAGTGACAACCCTTTTGTTTCTGGTATTAACAATGATGACAGTAAACCGATAAACATCCATGCGGAAAAGATTAAGAGCAGTTGCGGTACAAATTCATTCTTTCCACCAATATCTTTCAATTTCGAGAATCCAACTTGTGCAATAATGGCGCCAAGTTTTCCGGATGCCGCCGAAATGCCATGACCGGTTGATCGGTAACGCGTCGGGAAAACTTCTCCTGGTACTATGAATGTGGTTGTGTTGGGACCAAAGTTTTGGAAGAACTAAGGGAGGTGTACTTTTGTTAGTGATTTTGATAACGGCGTACGTGTATGATATGAGATAAAGAACCGAAGTAAATACCTGTAATAATGTAAAAAAGACGATGAACAAAGCTATGGAGGCATCTTTAATTTGATGATAGGCGGCACCCACGACAATAAAGAGTATAGTGAGAATAGTAAATCCCATCAATTGAATAGTTTTTCTACCCCATCTGTCTACAAATAATACGGTAAACCAATATCCAGGAACAGTACCCATAGCGGAGATAATAATGTTACCAACCGCAATATTTTTAAGTGAAGTATAAGGATCGGGATCGTTCGAAAAGCCAATGGCATTCAATATGATTGAGTTGTTGAGACCGATTCCGTAGAATGCAACGTCTAGCGCAAACCATGACACCGAAGTACCAACTAAAATTTGGCCGTTTTTCCACTTTCCAAAATATTTCCCGAAATCAGCCCAACTTGATTTTGGTACGTCGATTCGCACGACTGGTTCATCGACTTCACGTTCCTTGTATTTACCGGTACTCAATACGGTTGTGATATCTTTGCTCGCTTGGTTAATATCACGCTCTATATCCATTGTGTATCGTGGAGATTCTGGGACCGTAAGACGAAAGTAGAGAGCCACTAAGCCGGGAAGCGCACCTATTCCAAGCACTAACCGCCAACAGTAGTCAATCGAAGTAACATCATCTTGAATACGATTCTTAAAAGAAGCCACTACGATAAGTGCCACGATAGCTGCGG